ATATATTAAAATTTTCTATCTATTAAAATTATAATATACCAAAATTTTCCATATATTTGATTAAATAAGTCTATAAATTCTATAAATTCTTCCATTCACAAAGAAATTTATTTCAATATACAGATTGTTAAAGAAAGAGAAATGTGTAAAACAAATTTCTTGATATCTTAAACAATAAATATAAATTTTATATCAAAATATGGACATGTTTTCTTGATATCGTGAGAATTTGGCAAACTCCCACTCCATTGCGACTATATATATGCCCGACTAGGAAAACGCGACGAGATTCTCCGTCCTTCTGCAAAACATTCAGTATACTCCAATAACTTCCCTGTGACGTGAAGGCTGCGCCATCCAATCGAAATCGCGGAGTCAGCGATTGTCATCCATTGCGCCGCTCGAAATCTCGTCGCGGAGGGTGCGTGACAGCCACGCATAATCTAGCGCGACATTTGCGTAGCTCTCTGTGACAAATAGACTACGACAGTGCGTTGATAAACGCTGAATTATGCGTCACCAGACCTAAGGCTATCTCATAGGCGCGAAATAATCATGAAATGTGGAACATATATTACTAGCATTAATCATGATATTCATTTTACTGGCAGTTTACAATTAGTACGTGCTAAATATATATTCTTCGAAAATATACGTACTGAATATAAAATTCTAGCTTGAATATAAAATTCCATTCCTCTCTCTATATGCACAAAATTATTAGATACCTTATTAATTAGCGGTTTTTTTTAAATAAATAATTTTTCTTTTTCTTTTAGTATTTTTTCAAAATTAAGATCCATGCGTACATTGAAAAAAAATTTACTAAATCTTAATACATATCTTAATACATTTCTTTGAACAGTAACACCGCCTCAATTTTGATGTTATTATGTTGTTTGGAATATTTTTTATTTTTTCTAGGATTTAAACTATACAACAAATGCAAAATTTATATTGATCATAAGAAAAAACCGACATATTAATTTAAGAATATTAATTTTATAAAAGAAACATTCAAATAATTAATTTAAAAAAAATATCTTTCACACTCTCTGCTATTATGTCCAATATTATTAGGCATCCTTATAAATTTTATAATTCTTATATAAATTAACATAAATACAATAAAATTTGTAGGACTTTATCAATAAATTATTAATATTTAATATTTTATTACACTTCTTTTTTATTATTTGTTATTTCCTGTAGATAAATGTTTTCTTACAAGGAGAGGCTACGCTCTGCTTTTCACCGATTTTGATCAAACTTGCAGTATGGGTCTTAGAAGCCAAGTAATGAATTTAAAAATATATCAAAAAATCTGAAAATAATCTAATATCTCGAAAAGTATGCATTTTTTAGACAAATGTCTTAACAAACAAAAATGATAAGGTTTAATAAGATGTATTTATTGGCTTTATTGGTTTGACTTTGGGAGACATTAACTTTTATTGATTTGACCTTGACGATGCCACAAGATCAAACCAATAAAATCAGTAAATAAATACATCTTATTAAATCCTACCATTTTTGTATAAAACATCTCTTTTAAAAATGCATACTTTCGAGATATTAGACTGTTTCCAGATTTTTGATATATTTTTAAATGCTCATTGCGCGGCTTCTAAAGATTAGCGGGAATGGCTTTACAGGTGTTTCATTTGATAGGCTCCTCTAACATCGCAAGTTTGATCAAAGGAGGAAAGCAGAGTGTTAGTACTGTTCAAAGAAATATGTATTAAGATTTAGTAAATTTTTTTTCAGTGTACACATGGATCTTAAATAATTTTGAAAAAATACTAAAAGAAAAAGAAAAATTTATTTAAAAAAAAACGCTAATTAATAAGATATCTAATAATTTTGTGCATGTAGAGAGAGACTGTAGAATGGAATTTTATATTCAGTACGTATATTTTCGAAGAAAATATTTAACACCTACTAATTGTAAAAAACTTTTCACATATATACGAGAGAAAAAGATGTTGAACTAATCATATATGGAAAGAACGATTTAACTGAAGTATCTAAACACAATTGGTTACAGATCTGAATATGCAATAGTTTTGTTAGAATATTAAAATGATTACGTAAGAAGTATCTCAAATGTAATGAGCAATGTTATAAAAAGTTTTGATATTCTAACAACTAGCGTGCTACATAATTATTTTTATGGTGCAACAGAATTATTTTCAGATTTGTCTAGCTAAATTTTTAGATACTTCAACAAAATCATCCTTTCCGTAAATATTACTTAGCTAAGAAACAAAATATTTGCTTTTATTCTCTTAGATATGAACCTAAGTATACGAAAATATACTGTAAGATGATAAAAATTGGCGACCTTCTATTTGCAGGCCAGTGCATGGAAGCGAACGGCGGACAGATCAACCGATCGACGTACCTGACGATCGTCCTGCTGACGGCGGTCACCGTGATATTCAGGTGATTCTAATCGAAATCGCGACAATTATTCGAAAACAATTAAGGATCGAATTCAAACGCGGTGTCGGACACTCAATGAAGATCGTTATAAGAAATATTCGTGATACAGTGATCGGCCGTGCGTGGCTCGATCAATCGGGCAATATATAACAACTGCAGATGAGTGCGATTTTAGACCGTGAATGAGATGGAAAAAGAGGAGCCCATCGATTAGACAATCGTGCTCGTGGCTCCTATTAGTTTCTTCAAACTGTCGTTGGGAGAAACTCGCGTTCGTGCGATTGTCGTTCCGAAGTCAAAGAACAGGCGTCATCGATGAAACGGATAAGGATTAACGAATGACAGAATCGCACGAGAGATCATCCTGCGAAGAACCGATGGAAGATCCACAAAAAAACTCCTGGATTTTTGCAACAATTCCGACATGCACGATTTATTGGGGAGAATCAAACGTCGAACGAAACGTCGATGACGTAAATCGCGATCGAAGCGATCGAGACACCTCGAGCGTGAGTTTTCCCTGGCCAATAGATTTTTTTACCAGACGTAGCGCGTAGGCACTAAGGTTGAAATCGGGTGAAGCTGACGGAGTTGTTAGGCGATTTTTATGATTAGGCCATATCACGATCGGTATCGCGAACGAGATGCGGACTTCGGTCGAGGGGCCGCAATTCGCCCTTGATAGATCGTATCGGAGTCTTCTCGTTCTTGGCCGATAAGACGCGCGATCGTTACTCTTTAAGACGAACAGAAAAAGGCTATTACGAAGAGACTATATTCTCAATAAGTGCAAAAAAGAAAGGGAAGAAGCATTTATTCGATAAATATTTTCTTCGCCGGGCGCGCTCATTTCTTTGCTCATTCTCGGGCATGTATCCTCAATAAGTACCGAGTAATCGACGATACGCGTAATAATTATATCAATTAATTACAAATAATATACGCTGTCGTTTTTCAACGGATCGAGGCAGATCCCCACTTGTCCTGAAGTGACGCCACGAAGAATGAAGAGAAATGAATCGCGGGTGAGTCGCTCGTTCTTCATAAGACGCGCTTAGCCGAACGAGAGTTTAGCTGAGCGACAAATGGAGAATGAGGACAGTGAGCCTTAATTAACATGACAGAGTCCTCTAGCCGATAAGAACAAACGTGTAATATTATTTCATCCCGAACCAGTCGAGGATTAAAGAAGGTCAAGAGATTATTAAACGAGACTAGGGGCTCCGTTCTGGATGTCACCATGGTTTTCTCTTCCTCGGGGGCTCACACGGCTCACCACATTTTTCTTTATTCATGCGTTGAGAGGGGCCGCCGAGGAAATCGCATGACGCGACGCGTCCCTCCGCGTAGAAAGGCAGACGAGTGATCCTTTGATCTATATTTTCGCTTCATTAGCATCTCGTTAGACGCGACGCAAATGCAACAACTCCCCGCCTGATTCTAAGTTTTTATTCGTTGAAGATAAAGATCACGTGCGATGTCACCATCAAGTCGAGGGAATTGCCTTTAACGTTAAATGAACGGTGGCAGCGCGAGATCTTTGTCTCCTGATGAGCAGTCGATTAGCTTAATTAATGACGGGACGTGCGCGGACAACGTCTTTTCGGCGATGACCCGCTCGGCGCGAAATGTTAATATTAAGCAATAAGCAATAAAGAAAACACGAAATATGTATACAGAGACGTACACACACGCAGACACAGACGTTTACGCGGTAGCAGTACGCTCGAGAGAACGGTGATAACGAGGAGATAGTGGAATCGAGCGTGAAGGCGTTAACTCGAAGAAGGAACTCAATCAGTTCCGATTTTCGCAATTAATGATGTCAAGAAGAAGGCCGAACGGTGTAGGACGCTACGATATTATTGTAACTAATACAGAGTCTATATTATATATATTATTGTACAACCATCTTTGTAATAATTAAGATGTAATCGAGTGACGAGAGATGTAGAAGGAAGAGACAAACAAAGAGGAAGTTAGGAACAACAGACAGTGAGTGAGAACTGAAGCGCGCGCGCGCGCGCGCGCGCGCGCGTGTGTGTGTGTGTGTGTGTGTGTGTATGTGTATGTGTGTGCACGCGAAAATGAAAGAAAATTGGAATGAGAGAGGGGGAAGGGGACTGGGGCATGAAAAAGAATGAATCATAGGAAAAAGCCAATCGCTATTTTAGCACTTTTTCAATCGCGTCGTACGTAATTTCTACGCCATTAAGATTTTTCGTCGGATTTTGGTTTAATCAATCAACGATGTCGGTGAGATCGATTCTTGAGAGGAAGATGCGATGAAAGTCTTATCGAGCCGTCATTTGCCGTTCGTTCAATTACTTTGTTCTTTCTCTCATCGATCTCGATCGAAATTGCTCGCGACGCCGTGACCTACGTTTTCGCAAGAATTTCGTTGATTCGTGTTATTTGTTTATACTTTTGCTCCAGTCGATCGTAGAGATTGTTAAGGTGCCTTTTCATGCTGATGCTCGATATTCATGTTCAGCATCAAAATAGATTACATAATTAAAATTGACGCTAGACAATGCATGAAAATGATGTAACATTATGTATATGGCGTTCATTTTTTTTCTAATACTATAACAATATTGTAACGTTCCAGCAATATTACAGTAACATTGCAACAATGTTGCTGTAAGCTTCTGTGCTGTATAAGAATAAATCTTGCTTTCAGCGTTTAGACGCTAAGCGTCATATTAAAACCGTCATATGCTAATGCTACTCTTTAATGGGCGTTTTCTAATTGTAAAATCACTAGATACTTTCACGTACATGGTGATACAAGTTGTGTTCTAATTGTTGTAATCGACAAAGTACTACACATCGATACTCAGCTTGAGAGTTACTAGTGATCGATTACTGCGTAAATTTATGTTTTTTAATAACAATTGCATGTTACTAATCATGGCTATTAATAATTGAAATTGGACGTTGAATAACCGTATTTTTTTTTAATTCAATACAAGCGAAAAAAGCTACAGCACATTTTATCCCAGCGATGTTCTTGCGAATGTTCTCAGAATTGGGACATTCTGATGTGTCTCCTGAAAGTGTCTCTTGGACATCTGTGTTATATCTGGGTTTAATCTGTCCGAAATTGTGCAGAACGTATACATTCTGTTCAGTCGTTAAGTGCACAATATTACTTTTTACGGATTCCTGTGTACGTTTGTATTAAAATGTTAAGCAATTGGAAAACACCCAACATTTCAAATGAAATGGCACCTTTAAGCATCGCATGTTATTTCATGCCTACTCAAGGATCCTCTCGGACAATGCACTTCATCGGGCGGCAGTGTCTCCGTTTCAGGGTTCTCAGAAGAGAGGAGCTCGATCGATTTTTGTTGATCTCTCGGTGGGTTGGTACACCGTGAAGATATTATTGTCAATGCGCACAACAACTGCGAGTATAGCGCGGTCTCGCACCACGTGCGAGAGGTGCATTCTCATTTTTCACCGATAGGACTTAAGCTATTTAGGACATTTAGCGACTATCACATTAGAAGCCATACTGTACCTACGATCGCAGCGTATACATATATATAGCATATATAAAGTAGTGTTAATATCGGGTCTAGCCATTAAAATTCCTCTAGCTTCTTAGGGATAATAAGCTCATTGTGAACAACAATCAGATCTGATTTAAATGCCCCGCGGTCACAAATCATGTATGTACAATCCTGATGAAGTCCAATCGTCAATCTCGCATCTAACGATGGGAATTCCGTGATAATTCAAAGTCTAACGTCGAGAAAGTGTGATTGTCGATGGAAAAACAACAGAATACGAGTAATCTACTCTACTCTGTTCAATGAATTAAAAAACAATTATCTGAATTAATTTTAAATTTTCTGAATTTTGCAATGTCAATTTTCGCGAACTGAATTTTTTGAAAAGCTTTCTAACAAAACAAATTATGAAAGGTCTTGTTTTTTAAAGGTTTTTGCGATCATTGATTTTGATTCTGATCTCAGAATTCTAAAATTCAAATTTAAAAAAATAATCTGACTATCGTGAAACTCGATTTTAGAAGATTCTTGATATCGCTGAGTTTCATGTAGTCTGAAAACGTGAATTTCAAAAAGGTAGTCTCGAATAAGAGAGAATCTAATGTTACAAGGCTTATAATCAGAGTTTGAAAGTCAATTCGAAAATCAGTACTAACTGTCTGCGTAGCATTGATGAGCTTCAAATAACGCGAAACTGGAAACTGGATGTTATTTCACAATTAAAAATTTCCAAAAATCGTATTTTATAATAACTGAAAAATGATCTTTTTTTTAATTCTGTCCGCCATAATTATCAAATTACCACAAATTTCATAAAAATTAAACGAGCAATGTACAAAATAAAAGGAGATGATCAATGGTCGCCGATTCACAAAGAGTTAAACAGTGAATTATTCTTTAATTCGATAAATTGTGCAAAATGTTGTGTGAAAGATTGTATTCCGTATGATCCGAGAATTATTCAAAGCCCTAACACATTAACTGAAATTTTTATAATTTTGAAAAAAATCATAGCTTTAAATTAAGTGTATTAACATAATTATATTGTCAATCGGAATATCAATTATTTGTTATTCGTTATATCGCGGTCAGCGGAAGAATAAATATTTATTTTTGTTTAAAGTGTTGTTAAAAAATCATTCAAATGCGAATGATGACATCAGACCAGAAAATTCAGATTTCGCGTCCGTGATTTTTTAAAAATTATTTCACCTGTATTGCCAGACGAATATTTCAATCATTTATTTTGCTCCTACATATTTCTGTTTGCTTTTATGATCCCGCTATATGCGAAGCTATGGAATGCATGCAATAATCAGATTAAGCAAAGCTGATGGCAAAGAGAAGAGCGGAACAGACGGGCGGTATTAAAGAATGAAAATGATTATTCAAATATTGCAAAATATATATACGCGCGTGCGTTTTGCTTTCTAATTTTCCCTCTCTACATTCGAAAATTAGCGTTTTAGAAGTTGTGCTTTATTTT